AGTTGGCTGTCTACCTTGTACTGGATCAGGGATGATTGTTTTTTCTTTTCCCATGTAAAAATTCTTTGCTCTTTTGGCCATTTTCACTTCTTTTTTGATCTTTTTTCTCTCCAGCTCAACATCCAGAGGTAATAGAAAAATAGAACGAATGTTCATTCTCCTCATTTCGGACTCCAAATTTGTCGAGACATTTTCCTGGCGTCGTTGCTCACTTCTTTTTGCCAATAGACCGTCGTCTACGACGTGAGAGATCCTCTCTCTCTCCTTATCCTTTTCCCTTGGCATTCTTTTTCTTTCATCTCCAAAAATCTCCTTGTTTCTTTTCGAGTAGACTTCGTTCAGTTCCATAATGGAAAGATCAGAAATTTCAGAATCGTCAGTGAGTTATTATGTATGAATTAATATTCCGCGAGGGAATGCAAGTCGTTTAGTCTTGTTAATTATACAGTAACGGCAATTCCTCTTTCTGACCAATCCGAGTGCTTGCGGTAATGGTTTGATTTTTTGATTGACAGTGGGATTGGGTTTTGGACTGATTCCTTTTTTGGTGTCTTTGATTAAAAAACATATGCAAGCACGCAACACTTACGGAAAAATTCTACAAATAAATCTCATAGTTTAGCACTTTTATTTCGCTTATGTCTAATGTTTTAAGTTATACAAAAGTACAGTCAGTTCTTGCTTTACGGACATCACGCTATAACGGACACCTTGATAATTACGGACAGGAAATACACGAAAACTACAAAGAAATGACTGAAAAGACTCCCGTTATTACGGACACTCGCTACTGCGCATATTAAATTACGGCCCCTTCGTGTCCGTAATAGCGATAGTTGAATTTTAGTCCAGTCAATGTATGGCAAAAAATCAAAACACCACTAGTTGCAACAGAAGGTTTTTGACCGGTTTTAACACCAGAAAGCCTTTTCTATGACATATTAAACATCGAAGTTGGGGAACAGCTCGAAATATATTTCATGCCAGTAAAAAATATTCTCATAAAATAAAGGCGATTTTTGGATTCAACACTTCTTGACAAAAGGGTTCACATTGTTGCTTTTCCCGATATTTTGGCAATATTTCCAATACAAGATCATGTGTTTCTTGTTGTTGATATATCAAGTGAAAAGTCATGCTATTTTCGTTTTTGCTTCCCAATGAGCCTCAAAACGATTGAAAGTAAATTGCTTTTTATCTTTCGCAAATTGATTTCCCGGATGTGCAAACGAGTTGTAGTAGTTATGACAAAATTGTTCTTTGATTTCTTGTGATTGATCTTTCTAATATTATCAATTTGGAAGATAAATGTTCGAAGGCAAAATTTGGCGTTTGCGCCTGTCGTGGTACGCGCGGGAACCCTGTGTCAGTTCGTTGATTGACACAAGTCTGAAAGTAGTAATTTTTATTCGACAACTGACAAGTAAACTAGCAAGGAAATATTTCCGGTGACAACTGTTAGAAGCTGCATTTGTTTATAAAATAAAATAGGAACACCAAATAACACAGCATAATTAGCGGGCTAGCTGTGCTAGCCAGCTATAGTTTTACCTTTTTTCCTGTCGTGTCGCAGTTTCCAGTCTCTCTCGAACCACAGGAAGCCATATCTATCATGTCTATTAGTTTGCACTCTCTCGAACTGAAAATTTTCTCAAGAATCCAAAATGGCGGGTACTTCGCCGATAACAGAGAAAAAAGTACTCAAAAACTMTCAACAAGAAATACCAAAAGCTTTCTCATTGAAGAATTGAACTAGGATATTGCATTTGTGAAGTTTCAAGCTTGCTAGTTATCATTTTAAGACGATGATTTTGCATCGAAAATAGTCTCGCCTTCCTCACCAGTCCAGCTCGATGATYATTCAGTACAGCTTCAACATGAAATCAGCTCAAATACTGGCTTTTTTCCACATTTATAGACAGCAAAAGGTATTTTTCTGTTTAAATGACAATGTTTTTATTGTTCAAATTCAAAGAAATTGCTTTAATATCATCGGGTTTTTTTATTAGTTAAAAATGACAAAGTAAGCTTACAAGTTTTCAAATTGAACTTTGTTTTGCTTCAATTTTTAGATTTCTTTTGTACGAAATAAAGGCTAATAAAAACAAAATAATTTAAAGAATAGTTCAGTTTTATTTTTAAGCGCAGTGTTACATTTTTGACATTTGCAGCTGTGAAGTCTTCTGGGTAATATCACTTCTTTCCTCCACGTATGTAACCAGGGGAGTAGCGACAGCACGTGTTGCCAAAACGTTGGCCATGTTCCCGATCACATGGTCTCCAATCATTCAAACAAGGCCACGGAAAAGCTCTTCCAATTCCAGCAACGCCATATTCAATATTGCATTCACACGTAGGGTAGAAGTCTAACGTATTCGGTACTAAAAAGATTTAAACCGCAAGTGGATTGTTTAAATTTTTGTAGAAAAGTTTCAAAAACAATTACCCCCCTCCCCCATCCCCCACAATACGCGTTTCCTTTATCTGCATGATAAGGTGGAACCTACTGCAAAGTAAGTTTTGGTCTATGTTTTTAAACTTGTTGAAATACACTCGTTTACTCAAGACTACTGTGTCGGTGCGAATAAAGTTCAATGTTCAAATACAAGATAATCAAATTGCAACCTGTTTTTTCTTTTCAAAGCGAGCGCGTTTAATTCAAATTGCCACACCAATTTTCGCAATACTGGGGAATAGATAATTTTGGGATCATTTCAGTATTTCCGAGAACCTTCTCTTTTTAAAAGCGAAGAAACGGATTCACCTTTTAAGGTCGAATCAATTTTGCCTATATTATGCTACATTATTATAAAACATAGGCAAACATCGTAAGTGATACCTCTAATGTTCGAATATATCTCACCTTCGTCGGCTATAGCAACAGTAACAACAGCTACCCCAACAAACACAATGAAAAGGCGATTCATAATCCTCTTTCAATATCTCTCAAAATCTATGGAAAGTGGGATTTAAAAAAAACTTTAGTTATATGAAATAAGTTCTATCTTGAATGCTGCTAAGAATTACCTCTGAGACTGCAGGCCTTTGCTGTTCACTGATCGCGATGTCTGCGCAATGACTTGTAACGCATAGTCATAAGTCTTGATATAAGTCCAAAAAATGTAAATTGGACTGTCAGTACAATTAAACTTTCACTCCAGCAAGCGCTATTTTTTAAAGTTAATAACACATGGTGAGGTATAGTTGGAAATGGAATGCCTTAAGGTTGGTTCAGTTGCTGAGTCAACCTACAGAATTTCTTTAAAATTTTAATGACTGTTCCCAAGGGAAACGGTTAGTTTTGTTTCCCGAGAATCTCAATGTTTCCCGAGGTACGCGCTCCGAACACGTGACACCGAATCGTCCAATAAGAGAGCGAGAAAACAGTGAAAATAATTTACCAATATAACAATCTATGATAAAATATGTTCTTTATGKGCAATGCAACTTCTCAAGAGAAGCAATGGCATCTCAAGGGTTCAATACGTGTCGCAGGGTAACTATTTTTGAAAACAATGCGCCCTTAAATACAGGGAAACATAGGTAGTAGAGAGTGCGTTCGACCCCCCAGTCAATATGTCGGCGAACCAAAGAAATGACATCTCTGTTTCTCAGACAAGCTTATTCTCTGATATATGGTGACACAATATTTATTTATTGCGAAGGAGACGTAAGGAGCTTTTTGGGGTTTTTCGTTAATTTCTCATCATCCTCTCCTAATGATTGCTGCGTAGTCCCTGATTATACAATCCCCAAAAAACTTTTTGCATTTATTTTTCGTAAATTGAAGTTGAAAAGTGGACTCGCGGACAAACTTGACTCACAAAAGATAATGAAAAAAACGCATTGTTTCAAATTAACCACGTGTATTTTTGGGCCACGCTAGAAAACTGCTTAAGGTGATCAATTTATTCGGCATGGCCTTTATTAGTCGGATTCCTCAAGCTCAATGCGGTTGCTACTTTTTTAAGGACATATAAAAATTGCGGGAAATTTTCGCGGGAATTTGCTTCCTCAACTCGAAAGTGCAAATGATAAAAATAATATAACAAAAATAAAATGTGCAAATTGTTTGGAGAGTTATTTTATTTTTCGATGTTTTCTTGTTCCCTAAAGTTTACGTATCTATTGATGGTGTGCAGGGTAAAGTGACGACCCATGCGGAATCGTTTTAATGTTTTGATTTTCAAACACCCCTCTCGAATCAAGATGGCTGACAAGACGGTCTGCTGTGATTGCAGATATCAATCTGAGAGAATTTCACTACAACACTTCCTTTTGATCACAAAACCCTATCCATCTTGTGATGTATATGCTGTACTGTTTTGTTGTTCCCTTTCTCCAGGAAGCCAGAATGAGTCTTCCGGCTGCCTCTGAAAGCCCTCTATCTTTAATGGATTCCCAGACAGGAGACATGCCAGCATAGTCAACTTCACCGTTAAAGGGTGTAGTTGTTTTGGAGAATGAGGCAGTGTCAGTAAAGTTTGTTGTCTTGGTAGTGCCAAAGGGCTGAGCAATCAACATCCTCAACATTTGTGGCCACTAGACTTAAGTAGGCCAGAGGGGAACAATGATTCCCTGTGATACTTGTTCTTCTGATATGTAGGCATCTGTGGATTTGACAAAAAGGTGGAAAAGCATAAAAATACAAAGAACTCCAACTAATTGTAAAAGCATTTACAAAGCATAAGGCAGGATCAGGTTTCCACGACACAAATTTTGGGAGTTGTCAGGAGCACATTACTAGGAGCCTTCTTCTTCCCATGGGCTTGTGGAACGGCATTTACCCCTCTTGGTGCTATTTTTAGATTTTCCCGTCATTCCCCGCGCGCTTATTGAGCCGGCCGCCGCTATCAGGTGTTTTTAGATTGAATTTTAAGTTGTACAAGTGAAGAAATTTTCGCTTTTACAAAAAATATTTTGTAACAAAGGTTCAATGGCACCATTAACTATTATATTTAAATGTCTAAAGATAGTGAAAAGGTATAAAAAATRAGCGAAAAAGCTCATACATGAAAGAATCGACATTTCTGGTTTCTTTTACMGACGAATCTGATCAAAAAGCATGACAGTGAACACAAAATAATCTATTCTTATAATGAGTTCTTCATCTAAAAAATGTGACATCACAAATGTACAAATTAGCATTTAATAAATTTGTTTGTGACAGTTTTGTACAATATTTTGCATCTAAACAAAGACTCTTCACAAATGAAGTTACCACGGAATTTCGGCGCCTTCTTTCTTGAACAGCCGATAAACAGTCCTCTAAAATGTTGTTGTTTTATGGTCATATAAATTAGTCAACCCAAAAAGAGTTCCATATCAATGTCCATTTGCATGTAAAAATTTGCAAGCTTACTTGCTTCAGTCATGTTCAGTTTGCTCAAGTTTGCTCAAGTTGAAAATTTCCGCTTTTGTACAATTAAGTTAACCTTCGTTCCTCGTCTTCAACAGCCATTTGATTTCAAATTCTGGTTATCAGTTMAAGATCCARAGTRTGATTTGAGTCGAWTTGTGTTGCTTTTGCTGTCCAATGAATTTTGTTGGTCTTCGGCTGCTCAATGAAAAGTTCATGATTGTTGGTTGTTGTTTTTTCTCCACTGAGATTTTCCCCTGTATTCCCATAGGCCGCCCAACTATTGTTTCAGAGAAGGAAAAGAACGAAGAATGCGCACGCTTTTCTAAATTTACGGTAGTACTGTTATATCGGCGCGCGCTCAAAATACGGGTTACCTGTGGTATGACGTCAGTGATCCCTTGCCTCGCGGGATCAAAAACTAGTCTTTGACCACAGGGGGCCCAGGCTCAACGGTTGTGTTGCTTTCACGGCGGTATCAAAGTATTAATTGCGGGGTTCGTGGTTCGAGCCCTCATRAAGCCGTAAATTTTTTCTACTTCATTTCTTGAGACTTTTCAAGACTTTTTCTTTCTTTTCTTTTTTCTTTAATAAGTATAAACAGCTTTATGAATAAAGATTGATTTTTAAAGCCATTTTAATATTTTTCCCCCCTCGTAAATAAAAATAGACAAGGGAGGTAAGTCAGCGATCGAAATTTGCCAACCGGCTCTAAACTACGGCCTCTAAGACACCTTTAACTTCATYCAATGGACATCAAACTCCGTTCAGCTTTCGATCAATACCTATWCTCACTTGCCACCAATGTYCAGCCTCCAGTTAAAAATATTTTCCGAGATATTTTAGTCAAAAGATCAAAATACTCCAGCCTAGCGATGCACGGTACTTTCAACTCGTGCACCAACTGGAGTTGTGCATTAATTCTTTAGAGCCCATTCACTTGACTGTCTATCTGCCTCCGTGTTGTCTACCCAAGCAATATGAGTAGCTGTTAGCCAGATATTGTTGTTTAAGCACCAATTCTATATGACATGAACTTTGTTAGGCTTCCTATGCTCAGCCCATATTGATATTGTACAGCGGTCTTACTCAAGGTCTGCCATTTTGTTTTTGTAATAGTTTGTAGTAAGGTTTTAGTTGAATAAAGCCATGATTAAGGTTCCAGATCACAACATCATACCCCACCAAGTGATGTCTGACTTTGCACTATTAGTCGATGATGTCAGAGCTTCAAAATTCCCTTTGTTTTGTTTGAAAGCGATATTCTTTTCCATCTCTAAGTTCCTGTAGTGTATTTCCCAAATTGCACACAGGTAAGTTAGACACTAAAATGCCAGTTAGTTGGGCGGACGAGAGGCCATTTGGTATGCATTTATATATTGGTTAAGTGACCCTTGCCAGAAACAATCTAAGATATGTACAATGTTCCTCTGCTATGGGAACAGAATATGCATCTTTCATATCTAATGATGCCATGTAACAGTTTGGCGTCATATAGAAGTTGTTGGACAACTGTTTGTAAAGTCCATCAGGAATGTAAAAAACCGCTAAACTACATGACACAATAAAGAAAAAAAAACTTCAAGTATATATTTCAGTTTCTGCGTGTTTAATATCTTTAAGATCTCAATTCACCATCATATCATCCATCCATCCATTCACTCATTAATTTATGAAGTTATTCATTTACGAYCCCATGACCTCTGCACCGTTCAGTTTATAACATGTTATAACCTATATTTGCTTCTATTGTTGTACACGAATAAGAGAAATGAAAGTAGTATAGAAAACCTGTCTTTCGATACGGCAGTTTCTAGACAGAACACTGGAAAACATCGCGCGCTTTAAAAAGGTTGTAAATTTGATGTAAATATGATGTAAGTGTCCAAAATTCTGTAATTTTAATGGAAATCATTTACATCAAATTTACAGAATTTTGGACACTTACATCATATTTACATCAAATTTACAACCTTTAAAGCGCGCGATTTTTTCCAGTGGAACGAAGATTGCAAGACTGAAAAGAACTGTTGTCACAATATCAAATATGTAAAATCTCAGTGACTAACAGACGTTACATTCACGTTAAGGAACTGYTATGGTTGAGATGAGACGCAGTAATAGCTGTAAACACAACACTAGTTGCGCATGCTCAGGAATTATAATGKTCCAAGTGTTATTATAGAAGACGTTGCGATGTCGATACACTTATTTCAAATTTGCTACAAAAGAACAAAGAGAGAGAATGGTTCTCTGTGTGAACGGGCCTGAAATCAAAAAATCCTTTTCAAGTGCTATGGGAGGTACCTCCTGGTAGTAAACGGTGKCTGTCCACGAGATTCTGGTACCAGAGTCTGATGACAGGTGTTGTCACGCCCTATCACGGTGTTTGGGATGTCTTGAAATATTTCATAAATTTCTTTCATATTGCTCATGTACTAGATTAGCAAAACAGGTCATATAATTTATTGATAAATCATTAATCAATCAGTCTTGTCGTGAAGTATAACACGAAGATACTCGGTTTGTTACAAAATAGAGTAGTAAACCTCGGTTTCGACGGACCTGTTATTATATTATCAACAAGACTTTTCTAGTGCTATGGGAGGTACCTCCTGGTAGTAAACGGTGGCCTTCCACGAGATTCTGGTACCAGAGTCTKATGACAGAGGTTGTCACGCCCTATCACGGTGGTAGATTTATAACAAGACATTATCAAAT